CCGCCTTGAGCCATACTCATTACACTATTAACGGGCTTCAATACTGTACCACCTCACTATGCCGACGAACACACAAATCCTCCCGACCCCTAAACCCCCCTCTCCTACACCCCTTGGTCTTCTGCCCCAAAGCACACAACTACTGAGCGACATATCAGATTGGAGTGTCGCTCCACTTCCTTAAACTGAATCCTCTCCAAAACCGAAGCTCCTTGTCTTCCCCCAGCAGCACGAACCAACCACAAACCCCCCCCCCCCCTCCCCCCATTGTCTTCTACTTAACAGTCCAACAACGCCACAATATCAAAACCCGCTCTTGCAGGCAAGAGGTTACTTGGTGTCATTCTGGACTCGCACAAAAAAACCTTAAGACAAAAATCCTTCCTGCCCCAAGTCAATCATTTAAACAAATTCGTGCAAGGACTCCACCTCCGCACATAATCGCCAAAATCCGCATCGTTCCTAACCCCAGAAACCTCTAACACCAGCTCATTCCACTCCCTCATCATATCACGACTCGACTACTGCAACTCCCTCCTCACTGGCCTGCCTCGCCGCTGGCTATCCCCGCTTCAGTCGATCCTGATTACGGCTGCCAGACTCATTATTCACCTTTCCAAAACGCTCCGTTTCCGCCACACCCCCTCATGCCCAATCCCTCACTGGGCTTTCCGATTGCGCAACGGATCAAATTTTAAAATCCTAACACTGACGTACCAAAAGCTGGTCCTACCATACTTGCACCCGAACTACATCCACTGACTAATATCCAAGTATCAACCAAGCACGCACACTCCGCTTCCTCACTTGACCTCCTTTCTCTCTTGCTCCCTTGGTCTCTCTTCCTCCCTGCATGCCCGCCTCCAGGACTTCTCCAGGGTAGTTCACCCCATCCTCTGGAGACTCCATGCCCCAACCCATCAGATTAATCACCTCCTCTCCTTTCCTTTAGGCGCACCCTGAAAAACCTCATTCTCTTCAGGGAAGGCCTACCCCACCCCCTGCTAAACTTGTCTGACCTCCTCCACTCTTTCCTATCCACTCCATCCCACACAGCTATCTCCTCACTTGTACCACTATCCCCCTACCTACCGTTAGTTTGTGAAGGCTCGGGAAAGAGCAGGGCCTCGATCCCTCATGTTTTTGCATTGTATTGGTATTGTTCTGTCACATGTATGTCCTATCCCCCTTTGTAATGATACAGCGCTGAGAGCGAACTATTTGGCGCTTTATAAATTACTGTATAATAATAATAATACTAATGCATGCTTATTCTTTTCAGAGGTTGGAATATTGTTCTATGTTACCAATCCTTGTTTTATTGATTGCATGTAATTATTCTCCTTTTTTCTGAGATTGTGGGGATATTGGGGTTTTCATGAGCTGTAAGCCAATAATCATCCCAATGATGTCAAAATCACGGTTGAAACTATCTTGGGCTTCTTGCCACTATTTTTTTTTTTTTTTTTGTAATGAGTCTTTCATCTATATATTAGTTTCACCTTTTAAGTTTGCATTACTGGGGGAAATAAATGAACTTTTGCACGATATATCACATTTTTCGAATGTTCACCTTTACTGTTAAACACATCTAATGATGCACGTTAAAGCTAGGAGCGTATAATTCATTTTCCGTGGCCAGATTAAATTATTATTTCTGGCAGATTGAATAAAGAAATAACACCCAAATGCTTTGACGCCAGCTTACACGCACACTAAAATGTATTACACACTTTTACAAGTGTCAAGCATTTTTTCTTGTCAAAACACCACTGACTAGGAGGTAAGGGACATCTGGGTAAAGATAGATAAACAATTCCGAGTGTGCATGAGGGACTTACATTTGCATTACGGTACCCATTATTTTGAAAATTGTTTTGTCATTATTTAAAGTGGACTTTCCTCCCTATTCTTCTCATAATATCACGGTAGCATGCATCTCTGCATACAAGAAGTGAAGTCATGTGAACACTAATTAGTTTTTAAAGTGCTATTAAAAGGCCATTTTTTTAAAAAATGACCCAACTTGTTATACTTACCTGCGCTGTGCAGTGGTTTTGCAGAAGGGGGGATGAACTGGGCATGGAAAGAAAAGGGGGGTGGGGGTAATATTTTCACCATGTCAACCCCCCCTTACTTCACATATCCAGCAATAGATGGCCCAATCCAGCAGATACATCCCCATATATTTAGCAAGTAGACATCCCAATCCAGCAAAACAAAAATCCATATAACAAAGAGACATCCCAATCGAGCAAAAAAACAAAACAAAAATATCCCCATATAGCAAAGAGACTTCCCAATCAAGCAAAGAGACAGCCCAATCCAGCAGACATCCCCATATACTCAGCAAAGAGACATTCTTACATAGCAAAGAGACAGCCCAATCCAGCAAAGAGATAGGAATAAAGGGAAAGAAACAAAGAGATCTGTTAGTAAAAGAAACATACAGTACGCATTTAACCCCTTGATTGCTCTAGATGTTAACCCCTTCCCAGCCAGTGTCATTAGTACAGTGACAGTGTATAATATTATCACTGATCACTGTGCTAGAGTCACTGGTAATGTCAGTGGCAGTCAGTGCCCCCCCTCCCCCCCACCAGCATCAGTTAGTGTCAGATTGCCCGTTGCAGTATTGCAGCCCCATTATAGGTCAATATAAGTACTGCCATTAGTAGTATAAAAAAAATTCCAATATACACCAGTTTGTAGACGCTATAACTTTTATGCAAACCAATCATTATACACTTATTGGGATTTTTTTTTACCAAAGACATATAGCAGAATACGATTTGGCCAAAATTTATGAAGAAATTTTGATTTCATGTTTTATTTTTATATTGGATATGTTTTATAGCAGACAGTAAAAAATATTTTTTTTTGGTCTATTTTCATTTAACTTGCAAAAAATAAAAAAAAAAACCCAATGGTGATCAAATACCAGTAAAAGAAAGCTCTATTTGTGTGAAAAAAAATTATATAAATGTTTGTTTTGGTACAATGTTGCATTACCATGCATTTACCAGTTAAAGTAGCGCAGTGCTGAATAATAGCAAAAAATGGCCTGATCATGAAGGGGGCAAAACCTTTCTTAAGCCAAAGTGGTTAAAGTGATATTACAGTCAAAAATGTTTTTTCCCTTTAAGTAAAAAAAAAAAAAAAAAAAGAGGATATACTCATCTACTCTGGAGTTCCCTGCTGGCGTTGGCTGCTCCTCTTCTGCCTCTGCCCCCATAGCAAGTCATGTGCTATGGAGACACAGGTGCAGGAGCATTCCTGTGCCAAGCTGTGTGTGCCCATACTGGTTTTACTTAAACATATACTTACTTTTTTATGTTTTCATGTTGTATGCAGCATACTAAGTAATGTGTTAATTTATAGTCATGGCCAAAAATATTGGCACCCCTGTATTTCTGTCAGATAATGCACCACTTTGCCCAGAAAATTATTGCATTTACAAATGTTTAGGCATTCTTGTGTTTATTTATTTTGTTTGTATTGGTGTGACACAAAAAAGTGGAGAAACGAAAAAGCCAAATCTGACACAGTGGATTGGACAAAATTATTGGCACCCTCAATTTAATATTTGGTAGCACACCTCTTGGAAACAATAACTGAAATCAATCATTTCTTGTAACTATCAATGAGTTTCTTCCATCTCTCTACTGGAATTTTGGACCACTTTTCTTTCACCAACTGCTCCAGGTCTCTCAGATTGGAAGGGTTCCTTTTCCCAACTGCTGTTTTGAGATCTCTCCACAGGTGCTCCATCACTGCTACATATCTGTGGCCTAAGTAGGATTGGGAGTGCTGAGTTCAGGGTGCCAACAGCCAGAGTCACCTGGGTACAGAGCACAGAGTGCACCAGATGGTGAGTTGCTGCTGTTGAGATTTAAAATCTGCTGCTTGAGAGACTGAGCTCTTTAGGAACTGACCATACAGCCATCTAGTGGCCTTGTTGCTGCCTGCAGGCTTGATTGGGACTATTCTCATGTGCACCAACGGTACAATTGGGCCCTAATGCTAGCTGGCTGGAGAGTTAGGACTAAAGACTGTCCCTTTACAGCTTCTACACAGAAATCTTCACCTATTGCCTATGCTAAGAGATGCCTCTCGGAGCATTGCACCATATCCTATCCATTCTCCTAGAGTGCACTCTAGACTAGTTCTGCTATTATTATATGCACTGTTTATTGATGACTTTGTTGATTCATGAGTTAAGGCAGATCTTAAAGTGTTACTAAACCACAACAGTAAAATCAGTGTGTATATGCAATAAAACATGCTTGTTATACTCACTGTGGATCCTAAGGGTTTTGTCAGGGCTCCAGGGTATGACCAGAGGTATGTGAACTGACGCAGGGAAACGCAGGCTTCAGATAAGTTATAAACAATATAATTTATTAAAGACTAACAATACAAACATAAACGCAGTGCACCAAACCCCAAGCTAACACAAATACATACAACAAGGTGAAACAAACCCAAACCTAGACTGATACAGATACACAGGTACATACACATAAAGAGCATAAACGTAATCAGGCAGGCCGGGTCGATAACTATTGGGCAGGTAGGTACAGGAGGAGCAGGCGGAGAGAATGGTCAGGGTCACAAGCCAGGGATCAAAACAGGAGAAGTCAGCAGAGGTCAGGATCAAGCAGGGTCAGCAACAAGTCAGGCAGAGGCAGGAACAGGAACAGCAACGCAGGTTACAAGATACAGGGGCCCAGGAAAAACACACACCAAGACCCAGACTGCAGGTCTGGCCATCCCTTAAATACAGCTGCATAATCAGCTTCAGGTGTTTGGCTGGCTGCAGGGTTGAGTCTCTGATTGCTGAGAGCATCCGCTGGCCAGCCCTGGTACTGCAGCCCACAAGGCAGGTGAGTCCCACCATTACTGGCAAGTCCATTCCTGACAGGTTTAATCCTCTGCATTGTGTAAAAATGCTGTTTGATCCTGTCTTCTCTGATCCTCCTCTTCTTCCAGTGCCCCCTCCTATCTCCTGATAAATGTGGAGACACTCTGCACTTGCTCAGTTTGGGGTGTATTGCTAGAGAGGATTTCTTTTTTTTCTTGGGAGAGTGCAGGTGATCAGTACTGGGCCAATCGACACTGTCCAGACAGACGCCAGGAGTTCTGGATCCTCCTAGAACAAAATGAAAACTCCTCCTACAAATTTTAACATGTGTCTGCTGGACACTGATAGAAGTCACAAGACTGCTTGAACTGCTGATGAGAAAAGGTATTTAGCAGTTTATATTTACTACAATAATTGCATTTCCATGTTGTGTGTACTGTGGGAGACCAGATATAGTGAATGCAGGGTCCAGGGAGACCGGATATAGTGAATGCAGGGTCTGGGGAGACCGGATATAGTGAATGCAGGGTCCGGGGAGACCAGATATAGTGAATGCAGGGTCCAGGGAGACCAAATATAGTGAATGCAGGTGTGAGATGGGGAAACAGCTCTCATTGTTTGAACACTGTTTGTGTGCAGTAAATTATTGTGTGGAGTAGATTAAATGTTCTGGAGTGACATTCTGCGGTTTAGCCACAAGATGCCACTGTTTTCCTAACACAGCCCCAGACTGCATAGATATTTCTATATTCATGAAGAGGTGGGGTTTTCACACAGAGTTTAGAGAACAGGAAGGAGAGAGACAGCAGCCATGTTTAGAGGATGGTGAATGCAGGAGCCGTGTGAGCAGAGAATCTGATGGCATCCAGGTGTGAGAGCATCCCTCAGTAACCAGAGCTGCAGCTAGGTGAAGCTGATCGTGTCCAAGACCTTGATCCTGTTCAGAGAAAGGAAGATTGCTGCCAGGAATGCTGATGATAGCAGAGTAACAAAACAACATACACTGCGATACCGAATGCTTGTTGGAGAGACATTTGTTCTGTTCAGAGTCACCAGCGGATACAAAGCAGACCCGGGTCGGTAAGATCGTGCACGCACCTCATTTCAGTGTTGGTGCCTATAGTTATAGTCCAGGCCTATAGTTAGTTAGTTAGGGTCTCTGTTTGTGTCAGGCCACAAGTGTTATTACTGATCATTGGAAGTACTCCATAACTTAAAGTGACATTTCACATTGGAGAACTGATAAAATCCCATAAACTCAAGCCAGACTGGCGTTTTGCTCAGAAGGAATAATCAGGCACGTGCTACAGGACCAGTTATGGGAGGGGGAATACTGTAGATTTGTGTTAGATTGTAAGCTGTTGTGCTGCACCACAGGCTAGCCCATACCATACACCCATACACTGATTCCTGCTCCTTTAGGGTAATAACAGGTAAGGTGAGGCAGCTTAGTTGTGCCCCCCAGTAGGTAAATTACTACACCTTCTACCTTCATCCATCAGAAGGCGCCGTGCTGTGCAGCACAAGGGTCTCAGCCTTTGGGCTGGGTGTATGTAAATTTATTGTATGTTTCCAGCATTTGTGGTTGTGTTTATTTGCCACATCTAAGTAAAATTCTGTTGTGGCAAAAGCTGGTGTTGGGGTTGCTTTCCTCGTTCGTGACTTCACTGTATCCTGGGGAGCCCACCCCGGTACATGGCTTACACAGGGTCCAGGGTTTAGTAACACTTTAAGCTGTAGATCCGAAGTACCTCCTGCCCACCCCTTCTTCTCTCTGCTACCTGTATGGCAGCTTTTTTTTTTCTTTTGGAAAAAGGGTTTGGTTCAGTCTTCAATACATGTCATTCACCTTGACGGTACTGTGCCCGCTGTGCCTCCTGGAATATGTGACATATTCCAGGACGCCGTACCGCTTCATTCATAGAGTAGGACGGGGGGTGGTCCACTAAACCCAGAAGAGCCTGTGGGCCTCTTAGTGACATCAGAAACAACATGGTGGCATGGGGCCAAGTGGTAGCAGGGTGTGAGAGGATCCAAGCGGGACAACGCTGGATTCACTGGATGGGCGAGTATCTGAAACATGCAAATCCCACCTTCCAGTAAGTGTGGTAAAAAGAAAATACGTGGTTGGGTGGAGATTTGCTCTAATTCCAGTCTAGTGGTACAGAACTCTATTCTACGTTACATTGGCTTAGTGATTATACTGTTCAGCAGACTGTGGATGAACATGTGTTCTGTGTGCGGGCAGCACAGTGTCTAATGGTTACCACTTCTGCCTTGGCAGTACTAGGGTCATTGGTTCAAATCCCAACCACAACACCACCTGCCTGTTCTCCCTGTGCCTGCGTGGGTTTCCTCTAGGTACTCCGGTCTCCTCCCACACTCCAAAGACATGCTGGAAGGTTAATTGGATCCTGGCTAAATTGTCCCTAGTATGTGTATGTATGAATGTGAGTTAGGGACCTTAGATTGTACGCCCCTTGAGGATTAGGGACTGATGTGAATGTACAATATATATGTAAAGTGCTGCGTAAATTGAGGGAACTATATAAGTACCTGAAATAAATACAATTTATGTTCACACCACCATTTATTCTAACCTGTACCAATACAATGCAAATTCATCTACCACTAAACTGTCTTGTGCCCATTGAGTTAAAGGTATCCACACTAGTGTTCCTGTAAGTGTTTGCAGTAACTTTCACTCAACCAGGTGTGCCAGAGGGGCTGGGGTTGTTCTTGGGGGAGAACCCAAAATACCAAGCGGCTCCTTCAGGGGTTGAGCTACAAGTAAATGGTCATTAGCAAAGTTTGCTTGGCCTTTGATTTCTGTACAGCCTACAAAGTCCTTACTCATAGTGTGACTGTGAACTGAAATGCGTCAGCTTTGGCTCTCATTTGGAACTTTTGTGCTCCTTTGATGAAGTAAAGACCAGGGGCGGGCTGACAACTCATGGGGCCCCCGGACAATAGGGGATCATGGGGCCCCTGTGTCCTTGCCCAAACTCAAAAAAGCCTATGAAAAAGGTACCAGGGGCATCTCATGGGGCCCCCTACTGACCCAGAGCCCTCGGGCAGTGCCCGAGTTTCCAAATGGTCAGTCCGCCCCTGTGCTGTACTCAGATCCGGCATCTCCAGCACTGAATGTGTTTACTGGCAAGGAGTGTGTAGTCAAGCACCCCAAAATACCTCTTAGCACCCACACACAGAAGCTGCCATAGAAACTCCTACAGTATATCCTATGTACATCCCTAGCTGGCACTAGATTGTCATCATTAGTAGATGCCAGACAGTGGGATTACTCAAATGCAGTCGGACCATGGATTCATCTGAGCCTGAGGGGTCTATTGTTGCTGGGGGGATCTATTGTTGCTGAAAGGGTCTATTGTTGCTGGGGGAATCTCTTGTTGGTAAAGGGGGTCTACTGTTGCTGAGGTGATCTATTATTACTGGGGGGTCTATTGTTGATGAGGGGGATCTATTTTTGTTGAAGAGGTCTATTGTTCTGCAAGAGGTCTGTTGTTGGTGGATCTGTTGTTGCTGAAATGGTCTATTGTTGCTGGGGTGATCTATTATATCCTGTGGGTCTGTTGAAGGGATCTATTGTTGCTGAAGGTGTCTTTTATTGCCAAGGGTTTCTATTGTTGCTGAAGGATGCTATTGTTGCCAAGGGTATCTATTGTTGCTGAAGGAATCAATTGTTCCTGGGTAATCTATTGTTCCTGAAGGGGTCTGTTGTTGCTGAGGGGGTCTACTGCTGCTAAGGGGGAATCTATTGATGCGGAAGGGATCTATTGTTGTTGGGGGATATATTTTTAATAAAGGGGTCTATTGTCGCTGGGGTGAGCTATTATATCCTGGGATGTCTGACGTTTAAGGGATCTATTGTTGCTGCAGGGGTCTATGTTGCCAAGGTTATCTATTGTTGCTGAAGGGATCAATTGTTCCTGAAGGGGTCTGTTGTTGCTGATGGGTCTACTGTTGCTAAGGGGGAATCTATTGGTGCGGAAGGGATCTATTGTTGTTGGGGGGTATATTGTTACTAAAGGGGTCTATTGTTGCTGAGGTGATCTATTCTATCCTGGGAGGTCTGGTGTTGAAGGGATCTATTGTTGCGGAAGGGGTCTATTATTGCTAAGGGTATCTATTGTTGCTGAAGGAATCAATTGTTCCTGGGTAATCTATTGTTTCTGAAGGGGCCTATTGTTGCTGAGGGGGTCTACTGTTGCTAGGGGGGTATATTGTTGTTGTGGGATCTATTGTTGCTGAAATGGTCTATTGTTGCTGGGGGATCTATTATTTCCGAGAGTTCTATTGTTGCTCGGGGGATCTATTGTTGCTGAAAGGGTCTATCATTGCTGGTGAAATATCTTGTTGCTAAAGGGGGCCTACTGTTGGTGAGGTGATCTATTATTACTGGGTGTCTATTGTTGATTAGGGGGATCTAATTTTGTTGAAGGGGTCTATTGTTGCTCAAGAAGTCTATTCTTGCTGTGGGATCTATTGTTACTAAAGGGGTCTATTGTTGCTGGGGTGATCTAATATATCCTTTGGGGTCTATTGTTGTGGGGGTGTCTGTTGTTGAAGGGATCTATTGTTGCTTAAGGGTTCTTTGTTGGCAAGGGTATCTATTGTTGCTGAAGGAATCGATTGTTCCTGGGTAATCTATTGTTCCAGAAGGCATCTATTGTTGCTGAGGGGGTCTACTGTTGCTAGGGGGATCTATTGGTGTGAAATTGATCTATTGTTGCTGGGGGATCTATTGTTGCTGAAAGGGTCTATGGTTGCTGGGGGTCTATTATTTCCGAGAAGTCTATTTTTGCTGGGGGATCTATTATTGTTGAAGGGATCTATTGTTGCTGGGGAATCTGTTGTTGCTGAAGGAGTCTAATGTTGCTGGGTGATCTATTTTTGCTGAAGGGGTGTATTGTTGTTGGGGTGATCTATTATTGCCTGGGGTTCTATTGTTGCAGGGTGATCTTTTGTTGCTGAAGGGGTTTTTTGTTGCTGGGGGATCTATTGTTGCTGGAAGGGTTTATTGCTGTGGGGGATCAATGATACATGATGAGGTGGTGTTGCTTTCCTTTCCCCAAATCCAGCCTTCCCTGCATCCTGGCCCACCCATGGCTTTCAGTAGTAAACAGATCCCCTGATGGAGAGACCTGTCAATCACCCCGGCGGCTCTTCGTACGGCAATTACCTCGTCTGCTGTGTTGCTCTTCCTGCTCAGACATGAGCACGGATCGCACACATCTCATCTAAGTGCCGCTAATTTTCCCAGGTGTAAAGCTGTAATCTGCATAATGAATTGTGTTATGATCCTTGGATTCAGCACAAACCCCCTAATAACGATGGAGATTTAATATGTTAATTTCCGATTACCGTCTGCCGTTCCATCCATGGGTAGCCATATTGCCGTGTTCGGGAAGAAAAATGATAGCAAACAGCTGGAAATTCATATTAAACATTCCGGAATCTGGGAATTTTCAGAATGTTCTATCGCTGGTACAGGAATTAAAGCCAAACTCCAGGCAGATATAAAAGACACAAATGAATGCAGTTCTGGAATCATTCATTAAATGTATTTTTGAATGTAAGCTGTTCACTATCTGAATATTTCTGG